GGACCATGGGAAGAGAAAAAAACTTAGGCTTGTGGGAGGGGCGATGTGTTGACCCCAATGGGGATTGTACTTGGCTTTTGTCTTGTGTGGTCTTGCGCAGGTGAGTAGCCTAGGATGGTTTGATCGGGACTGTGTCCGCCGGATGCGGGCAGGGATGGGGAAAACGACAAGGGAAGGACATGGGCCTTGCGTAAACTATGGATGCCGGTGGGACTTGGTGATTGTGTGCTCGATATGGCTTGTGTGATGAATGGGTATCTTGATTCTCTGCGTGCATTGTGGAAGCATGAAAAGACCAAGGGCGGCAATGGATATGCGGGTAGGATGGCTGTCGAGCAAAAAAAATATAGGGGGCTAGGGGCATGAACGGCGTGACCGCACCCCGATTATGCCATAGAGGTTGCCGTGCTTAGTGAAAAGGTGTGTGGCCCAATGGATGACGCTTGGCCTACACACGAAAGAGGACGAATTCTTAACGAACTCCCTGAACTGCCTGTGTAGTGGAAGGAGCAATTGCCTGGTCACACTTAAGTGAATCAAGAAAACGCCACGAGTGATCAAAGAGTTACCATCTAACGCAAGAGCGGAGCTACATCCCCCAATGTAAAGCCCTCTCGCAAAAGGCCCATCCCCATCCATCTCATAGCACTAGGTGGGGGTGCCCCTGGAACGAACGACCTGCGCCCTGAGCATGAGCGAGGGCGGGTCGAGCCAAATGGGACCCGAAGTGGGTTCGACTTAGGCTCGAAAGTCCTTCAGGGTACGGCCCCTACAACGGAGCTTCCTCCTCTGTCGCCCCCGAACTGGCCATCATGGTGACCGTCCACGCTCCTAGCACGACGGCCGCCACGGGCCAGGCCCTCCCTCAGTCTACGGGCGCACCCTCCCAGATTCCGGTCACTACGGCCACGGGACCACAACCCGCTACCATGGTCTTAACTTTTCCGAGTGTCCAGATTCCGTTTGTTGGCCAGCCTTCCGCTCGAGTACCGCTCTGAGTTATGGTGGTACGAGTTCACATCGGCCCCGCAGGCTTACGAGGCCGCCAGGGACCATCAGCGGATGTGGGCCCGTCTTCACCCCGCATCCTCCTCCCAGCCTCAGCGTACTGGTTACGCCCCCTCCTCTCACGTCACTTCCCAACGTCGTTCCCCTTTCCGCGGTCGCCCCCGCCATTCCGCGCAGCAGGGCCGCCACTTCTCGTGCCGCTTCAGCGCGCTCGAGTATGGTGAGCAAGACGCTGTTGCCCCGATTTCGCCCGAGGGTGACCATAGCGACGACCTCGACCTCGGCGAGGCCGTCCACTACCACCTGGAGGACACTACTCTCCCAATGGCCGAGCGCCTCCAGCTCATCCTCTCTCCCGAGCAAGCAGTCGCCCCCGTCACGCTGGTGCGTCGCCCCCCGAGGTCCCTCGGCAGGACCTCCCTCAGGGCTTTGTCCCTCCTTGCGGTGTCCTTTCCGTTGAGGAGCGTGGGCTATTTTGGGTCGGCGTGGGTGTTTGCGATGCCGCCAGGACGGTCATACCTCCTCGCGGTGCCCTTACACTGCCACCCTCGATCGCCACTACGCTGACCTTTCCCGCCAGCATCGTGCTCAGTTCCCCCCTGGCGCCTCGCATCCCCGCGGCGCCTCCTAGCCACGGTGCAGTGTACACCTGCGCCCTCCTTAGTAGTCGGTTTCCCGACATCCCCGTCGCGATTTGCCCCTCTTGTTACTGGAGTTGAGGTATCGCAGGACCTGACAGAGTGTACTCAGCCCTCTGTCGCAGTACCGTCTGTGCCTCCGCAGACCACCGCTCCCCCTTCTACCCCGCCGCGACTACCGACGCGTCGAGCCATTCGCTCAGCCTGTTGCAGCGAGCAGCTTGCGAATCGCGAGGACGTTGTGTCCTGTCTTCTGGACTTGAGCATGCTCCAGACTCGTCAGGAGCGACTCACCCTCCATGTCGCTGCACTGCGTCACCTTCTCACCATCCTCTCTGACCCTGATTGCACCCTCCCGATCATTCCAGTACGACTGGGGACCTCCACGAGGGTGTACTCAACACTGTGGGACTCCAGTTCTCAGGGCGACTTCATTCACCCACGTGTGGTGAAAGAAGCCCGCTTACCCACGACAGGGTCTCCGACTCCCATCTCCGTCACCCTATGGGATGACAAGACCCAGCGCTTCTTATATCAAACGGTCACCGACCTCCCTTTCTTTCTCACTCTCGAGCCGACTAATCGTCCCCCGCCGTCTCGTCGCCACCGCTCCTCTGCACATTTCGATGTGATGGAGACGGGGTACGACTTCATTCTCGGCACTCCGTGGTCTCGTCGGTTCCGCAACACCGAGGCCGATTGGGCGACCAACACTCTCGTTCTCAAAACAAAGTGTGGACAAACGTATCGCGTACCTTTCATAGGTACCACTGCGACACCATGCCCCGATCCTCCTCCCCTGGAGCCTTTCGCGCCCACACCATCTCCTTCTATCACTGTCAACTCGCCTCGGCAGTTCGCCCACTTCATCCGACAGGACGACGTCACCTTCTTTATGGTGAACGTGACGGTCCTCTTACACTATGATCCACCGTGTCCCGACGCCGAGCTCATCCCTTTGGAGCCAGATCCTCCTTCTATCTCCATGGCTCTCATCTCTACTTCCCACCCTCCGCCGAGCTCATCCCTTTGGAGCCAGATCCTCCTTCTATCTCCATGGCTCCCATCTCTACTTCCCACCCTCCGCCGTCCGTCGAGTCCACCCCGTCGTCGCGCGCCGACGCTGACGCTGAGGAACTCGCACGCTATACGGCCGACTTGGAGCCCGCAGTTCGCGACCTCATTCGAGAGTACCACGACGTTTTCCCATCGTCGTTTTCGTACGCCGGTATCCCACCGATGCGCGACGTCGAGCACTCCATCCAGCTTGTGCCTGACTATCGTGTTCACTACCAGGCACCCTACTGACTCTCGATCCCCGAGGACACCGAACTCGAGCGTCAGCTTGAGGAGCTCCTGAGACTAGGTTTCATTAAACCCAACAACTCCCCGTGGGGTGCACCCGTCCTCTTTGCGCGCAAAGCGGATGGAACTCTCTGTCTCACCATCGACTATCGCGGTCTCAACCGCTACACGGTTAAGAACAACTACCCCATGCCTCGTTCTGATGAGTTGTTCGACCGCCTAGCAGGCAACCGCTTCTTTACGAAGATTGATCTTCGTAGCGGTTACCATCAGATCCGTGTCGACAGCGTTCCTATCGCGCTTCGACCACTACGAGTTTACAGTGATGCCATTCGGCCTCACCAACGCACCCGCTACCTTCAAAAGGGCGATGAATGACATCTTCAGGGACATCTTGGAGCAGTACGTTCTCGTCTACCTCGACGATATCCTGGTCTACAATCGTACCCTTGAGGAGCACCTCAGACACCTCCGCGACGTCCTTGACCGCTTGCGCAGATATGACTTTTACGCCAAGCTGAGCAAGTGCCGCTTTGCCCAGCACAAAGTGGATTTCCTAGGACACTACGCGTCTGGCCAGGGTCTCCACATGGACGACGCGAATATCACTACTATTGCGGAGTGGCCCGTCCCCACATCTGCCAAGCAGCTTCGCAGCTTCCTAGGCCTTACCAGCTACTATAGTACTTTCATCCAGGGATACGCTAGGTATTCCTACGTCCACCCTCCTCCGGAAGAACCCGCCCTGGGCTTGGACACCCCTCCACGAGGACGCCTTCCGCGCCCTCAAGAAGGCGGTGACATGCGCACCGGTTCTTCACCTACCCGATTTTGATCACCCTTTTATCCTTACCACCGATGCGTCAGACTTTGCCGTAGGAGCAAATGCTTTCTCATATTTTCCCCTCCTCTCCTGATTCCTCTCATCCTCGTATCCCTCGCTTCCCACCCCCTACCCCTACCACTGCATCCTCGTCCAGCTACTGACGAGCCTTCAATTGACTATTCTCCTACCATCGCCGAGGACGGCACTGTCGAGTCTCGCTCAGGTGATTATCCGATAGCCTTCTACTCCCGTCATCTCCTGCCCGCCGAGATAAACTACACTGCTGATGAACGTGAGGTTCTCGCAGTAGTTTATACCGCTCGACACTCACGTCACTACCTGCACGGGGCACCATTCACGGTGCGCACGGACAACTTCGTTGTCCAGGATTTTCTGACAAAACCGAAGCTCACTCCTCGACACGCTCGCTGGTGGCGCGACCTATCCGAGTTTAGTTTCACCACTGAGCACATCAAGGGTGAGACTAATTGGGTCGCAGATGGCTTATCCCGGCGCCCTGACCACGACCAAGCGCAGATCCAGCTCTCTTCCATCTCGGTCACCACTGTCCACCACTCGGTGATCGACGAGTTTCGCACTCAGTACCGCCACTGCTTGTGTAACCGTTTGAACGCCATGAACGCGCGTTTGCGTTCAAATGTGCATTTGAACGCGGATTTAAATTCGCATTCAAAATTGAACGGCGTTCAATTATTATTATTATTATTATTATTATTATTTCAAACATTTCGATGCCTAAAAATAACTTTTTTTTCCTGATTTTTTTTTATGAGTTCTGTATGATGTGAGGTACATGCCTCTCAATTTTGGATTCATTTTGCTGAGGCAAAAAAAAATAAAAAATCGCCAAAGATGGCGGTGTCAAATCGTGTTCGCTCACTAATTTCAATTATTTTTTTACTTTTTAGAAGTTTTTTCTATTTTCTGTTTTCTATTTTGTTTTTCCAATTTGGTAACGAATTTAGATGTGATGCTCAGGCAAATGTTGTTTATTTTTTTTTTCTTCATAACATATTTTATTTTTGGATTTTTTTTTTTTTTTTTTTTTTTTTTTTTTTTTTTTTTTTGTTTTTTTTTTTTTTTTTTTTTTTGCTTGGCTGCTTTTTTAAATAGGCTATTTTTTTTTTTTTTTTTTTTTTTTTTCCCCCCCCACGCAGAATTGAACTCCGCGTTCGGTCCCGTTCATTGAACGCGCGTGCATTCCGTTCAGTTTCTGAACGGAAAACCCGCGTTCAATGAATGCGCGGTTTCACAGGCCACTGCCCCGACTATCGCGACATCCACGCGAACCTTCGGAGTGGCAAGACCGTCCTGAACTACTCTCGCGGGGACAACGGTCTCGTGTACTGGCACGGTTCACAGGGCACCAGAGAGCCACGTATTTGCGTTCCCTCCACTGGACAGCTACGTGTCTGGGCAGTGGCAGAGTTCCATGACCAGGCAGTCGCCGGTCATATGAGCTTCCACAAGACGTTGGCTCGTGTGAGCTGCCTGTACGTCTTGCCGAAGCGCAAGGACTTTGTGAAGGACTACGCCGCAGAGTGTCCCACCTGTCAGGAGGTGAACAGTGTGAACCACCTGCCTTATGGTTTGCTCCAGCCTCTTCCTATCCCTGAGGGTCGTTGGCAGTCTATCTCGATGGACTTTATCGGTCCTCTTCGTCCTCCGAAGCCCCGCGGTCATGATGCTATCCTGGTCGTCGTCGACCACCTTCCAAAGCGTGCACGCTTTGTTCGGTGCCGCTATGCCATCAATGCACGTGAGGTCACCGACATCGTGTTTGACCGAGTCGTGCGTGACCACAGCTTACCTCTGAGCATCATATCCGACCGTGACCCGCGCTTTGCCAGCCGATTCTGGCGACGGTTCCACGAGGCATACGGCACCCAACTTCGCTTCTCCTCGTCTTACCATTCCCAGACTGATGGTCAGACCGAGATCACGAACAGAACTCTCAGAGACATCCTCCGAAAGATTTTTCGTGACGACCAGCAGTGGGATCTCCATCTTGCCCACGCGGAGATAGCTTACAACCACGCCGTCTCGCTAGCCACGGGGATGTCGCCTTACTATTGCGACCTCGGCTATCACCCTCGTGTTCCCGCAGACTTCCTTCGACCGTCACAGATGCACCCCGACACGAGTTGTCCCGTGCTGGATGATTGGGTTGCACACATGACGTCGATCATGAAGACCGCGCATGAGCACATAGTCGCCTCCCAGACTCGCATAGCGGCACGTGCGAACCGATCACGGATGGATCATCCATTCAAAGTCGGTGATGATGTGCTTATCGACGCTCGCCACTTACAGCTCGAAGCGGACACGCTTTGCAAGTTTCGGCGTCGCTTCTTTGGCCCATGCCACATCCTCCAGGCCGTTAGTTTTGATATGGCATCTAGCCCGGTCAGCTTCCGTGTAAAGTTGCCCGACTACCTACGCCAGGCTCGTGTGCACGATGTCTACCACATCTCGTTACTACGTCCCTACCGCAGACCGTCTGAGCGTTTCGCTGGACGACCATGCGAGCGCCCTCCACCCATCATGGTGGACGGCCACGAGGAGTTCCTCTTTTCAGACATCATTGGTCGTCGAGTCATCGACGACAACCCTCCCCATGTCGAGTATCTCGTACGTTGGAAGGGTTACCCTGATGAGGAGGCTACCTGGGAGCCCCTCAAGCACTTGCAGCACGCTCTCATGTTGGTGCGTGCCTATGACCGTGCTCGTCGTGCAGGGTCGACTGCTCCCCCTCAGCCCACTGACCCTCCTCCTTCTCCCTCGGCTGAGGAGACCGCTGAAGTTAAGCCTGCCCCTTCTGAGGCAGACCTTCAGCAGCAGCCGGATGCTTCTCAGCGTCCACAGCGCACTCGTCGTCGTCCTGCTCGATACGACGATTGACTCTGACTTATCTTCCCACGACCTTGACTTCTCAGTACTCCATCCACTCCAGTTTTGCCACTTCAGCTCGTCGACGTTGCGACTCTTCCTCGACGACATTCCGGACTTCTCATCATGGACGTCATCGACAACTTCATGGACTTCGTCACGATCAGCTCTGCCTACTTCAGACGTCGTCACTCTCTTACCACCTTACCCTGTACAGTACCCTGGTTGTGTCGCATGATGGTCTCCCTTCGCCGGGTTCTCTGAGTTGGGCTCTCCCTTGGTATACGCATAGGCATCGGGACCGTAGCGTTGCCCTGGCTTCCCAGCTTGCGGATCTAGCTCTGACTTCCCTCACTTTAGGAGTCATTTGCATGATTCCCTTGCCCATCACCTTTCTACCCTCTGTCGGCCCTCACGCCCTAGTTAGGCAGCCGCGCATGCTTCATCTAGGTGCGCCCAGTATACCAGGCTCCCTTGTTCCCTTGCATGGTCGACCCTCCATAGCGGTCCCCCCTTTAGTCGAGCATTACCCGCCCTGATGGTCTACCTGTTAGGGTCATTGGTTTTGTCCGCTCCCAGTTCTCTACCCTTATTGAGCCTAATGACATGTGTTCCCCCTGTTACTATGTGTGGATGCCCTTAGGACTTTTCGACCCCTAGGCTGCATTCGCCACCCTCAGAGACCATCCCACCCTTTGGTTTGCGACACACTTCTCCTGTGACATATGGTTGACTTGTTGTTGCTTGTTGCTCTCAGACTGAGGCTACTGCCTCTGACATTTCTAGGATTTAGTTGTTTTGCTTTTGCTGTTCTTAGGACTTATACACTAGTCAGCTTTTTCCAGACTGAGGCTACTGCCTCCAACATTCTAGTGTTGTCATTACTTTCTGCTTTCCTAGGACATGTATGCTAGTTAGTTGCTTCTGCTTTCCTATGACATGTATGCTAGTTAGTTGCTTCTGCTTTCACTTAGGCTGTTAGCTGTGACATTGCTGTTTCGTGACATTTTCTATCCTAGGTTGCATCGCATGGACTCAACATGGAGCTTGTTCCGCATCCTAGACTACTCTGGTTTTCTTTTTTCTTTGGTAGAGTTCCGCTTCTTGGCGGAAGCGTGCTTGTATCTAGGCGATCCATCTTAGGCTGAGGATCGTGTAGCGGACCTCTGGTTGGCCTATAGGACCAGCCCCTTGGCCTGTTCTCACAGGCCTGTATTCTATTTGGGGCAGTCCAGTCCAGGCCGGTACCTCTATCGATACCAGCCAGTCCAGTCGAGTCCCGTCAGTCCGCTGGGGTATACCCCAATTGTTGTCTGTTTTCTCTCTCATTTCTGCATTCGCACAGTTTGGAGTACGTGCGTTGGTGTCTGGCGTGGGAGTTGCGCTGTGCCATCTCGCTCCCCCTTCTTCCTCCATCTCCATCTCTATCTCTGGCGGAGCACCACACCCGGTGGGTCTGCCACAAGAAGTGTCCAGGAAGATATGATTCCCCCTTTTCTTTCCATCGCCCAAATTTGCTGATCACCAAAACACGCACAGCAAGACAGCTGTGCAAACTTCCTTCCAAAGAATCCCCAAAATATACCTACTCTAGTTTTTTCGATTTTTTCGGCCATGTATCTGCTAATGTGAGGATTGAGCCCTCAAGAAGGGGCCTTGCCATGATGTACATGTTCTGGGCCAAGGCCCCAGCAAGCCTCGTGCCCGCCCAAAGTGAAGGCGGGCCAGCAAATCAACAAGAGCCCTTTGTGCAAACATTTCAGGAAGTGGGGTCCATACAATTGCAGCACGCCAGTTGGTTGGAGTGCACCGAGTATCTGAGCTCTGCAAATGCAGCAACCCAGGGCCCCAGAGTTGGTTAGGTCCTGGGCACATAAACGTGAGGCCGACAATGCACGCTCGATATAGAGGCCGAAAATGCCAATGGGAAACCGGTCCACTATCTGAATCTGGCTGCAGGCCTTGATAAAAGAGGCGCAACTGCATCTCCTGGGCCCCAACCGCATCGGGCCTGGGTACAGGTACTGGGGCCTAGGCACAGGCTCAAGGGAGGCCGCCCACACGCAACACTGGCATATAGGCAAGGAGGGCGAGTGGGCAGGGGGCTGGGCCATTGCGGGCAATGCCAGCACGCTGCGCGTTTGCGAAGTGCTGGGCTGCGCTAGGCTGAGGTAGAGGCAGGCTAGCGCTAAGCGGTAGAGCGCTGCCTGGGTGCAGGGCGTTGGCGGCCATAGCCGGGCTGCCTGTGGGCGCAAAGGAGGAAGGGCGAAGGTGGTTCTTCAGAGGTGAAGGGCGCTGTGTGGGATAACAAGGGAGAGTGAGGGTGAAGAGAGAGACGTACCTGGTGGAGATGGGAGGTCGGCATTGGTGTTGACATCATCACTCGCTGGTCGTCAAGTTGTCTGGTTGCTTTCATGCTGTAGTTGTAGCGATAGGCTGTAGAGTAGGTAGGGCACCTAGCGCCATTCAAGAGACAGAGCTACATTGGGTTATGCTGTTGGTGTTGCCCGATTGGGCTTGGACATTGACTCACGATTCTTCTGTATCGTTCTCAAATGGATGGTTACTCGGTTCCATTGTGCTATCTGCTCTTGCTTTGACTACTTGGACTTCAGTGTGATTTTGCATTCTCGATTTCTGTGCTTCATCCACATTCATGTTCCTCGGATTTTGGTATCAGAGCTGGTTCGATTCGCCACTTACCTTGGTGCGCTGGCATTATACAGACTTGGTGCGTTGATGATGCTTCTTCGCAGTTGGTTCTTGTGACGTCAGGCCAACGTTAGGCGCACGACCTAGGTAGAGAGGTGTGCGCCGGAAGGCTATATGACATTGGGTGTCGTGGTTACAGCGGAATGTATGATTGGTGATGAGAGCATGCTGATGTGGCATTAAGCTGAGGTGGCACTGCATTGCGTTGTGAGTGGTTCCGAGGCTACGACCGGTCATCAAATGCACACTCAGCTCAATTGGTGAGAAATTTGTGGTTGGGGGCAGCTATCTCCAGGTACGTTGTTCCCTTACCTTATCTACTCTTTCAATCTCTTCTTACCGCGAGGAAGTGAGTCCAACTTGAGAGTCCTCTCTTTTGGTGAGGTGTCGTGTGCGTGCTACCTTGAGAGACGACAATCTTCTTGGAAGCATCTGAAAGGAGAAAGGGTGGTGCCTCTGAAGGGCCCTGGTCAAAGCACTGGGTCACGGCTTCATGCCAACCGAATGGGAGTAGGTCACGCATGCGATGGCTGCTCGTCCATTTTGGCACTTTGCTGCGCTGTAGAAGTCGTGCCGGGTGTGCCAGCCCATAAGAGACGCTGTCTAGACCGTCTATAAATACTTCTGGTGGGGAAACTCGGTGTTGATACTGGCTGTGATCGTCGTCCTGTCTGCGATGTTAAATAATTTCTGCGGAGATAGGGGCTCTCCTTAAATTCCTCCTGATCAGCCAGATCACACCGGGTAGTAAGGCTCGTTCCGTACGAGGGTAAATAAGAGTGGATGGGCTGGCTTGCTCGGCAATGACTTGGGCACAGGGGTGGGCCGACATTGCACACGAAGACACCGCTGCTCAATGATGCTTACCGGTAGGTTGGATTGAGGGGAGGGTAGGTTCTAATTGGTGCTCAACTGGAAAACACAACCATACCCACTGTTCATACATCTGCAACATTGTTTTGTTTTATATTTAACACCTCACAGACACATTAGAGGAGGACTGTTGTATACTACCATAGCCAGTTCTATCTAATGCTGCTGTAAGTGAACTAATTAATATAGAACTAAAACTATTTTGACAGTCTTTTGAGAATGTTGTAGACTGCCACTTGATCGTTCAAGTAGGGGACCTGCCGAACACAATTATTTTTAGAAAATTAGGTGTGCCGGTCAGACACATGCTGTGGTAGGACTTTACTAGGGGGTTCTAGTGCAGACAGTGTTTGTCTAACTGATGAGTGGGTCAGACACCGATGAGGGTAGAGTTGACAATAGGAGACTAACACGTTCGAGGGCACTTAGGGTCCCACAAGTGTTCCGGACCCTACAACCGGGAGACGAAGCACGACTTCGTGCCGAACGTAGAGCCCGTGCTCTTGCAGCAGCGTTGGCAGCAGCAAACGAAGCAGCTAGAGAGCAGGCAGCAGCAGCCAGAGCAGCAGCAATGGCTAATGGCGCAGGCTCTGCTGCGTCCTCGTCTGGGACCCAGTTGGGAATGCCCCTTGGGCCCACGGGTACTTCCGGTTCAATGAGTTATGGTCAGTCTACAAGTCAAATGGCGGGCTCGCAGTTAAGCCCGTTGACCCCACGCGGCAGGGAGCTCTTAGAGCTCCAACAGGTCGAAAGGATCCGCGAGCGGTTAGAAAGGGAACTGAAGCAAGCAACCGATAGAGAAAGAGAAATTAAAAATAGGACAGCCAGGCTTGATACGTTAGAGGCAGACAAAGCTGCACTAGAGGGTTAGCCTTGACTGACCAAATGAAAATACTGAAGAACAATATGTTGTCGTTGCATGCGCATGTGGACAGCAGACTGGACTTTATGCAAAACTCTCTAGACCAGATCTTGGACCTTTTGCAAAGGCCAGGATTTAGGCCAGCAGTACAATCGTCGTTGCCGTTAACGGCGATGTCAGGCCCCTTTCCGGTACAAGCTGGCACACAGTCAAGTGGTACGTCTGCAGCAGTCTCACAGATTGTTGCTTCTTCTTCGTCTGGGTTAGCGGTGGTAGCTACACCACCGCAACAACCTGTTCCTCAATAGGGACAGCAACAAGGTCAATGATACCCAAAGACCCCTATGAAACCGCCCCTTGCCTTCTCAGGCGAGAAGAAGGACGAGGAACTCAACACATGGTTGAGAACGGTTCCAATATGGGCAAAGGCGAAGAGGACTTTGCAGGAGGAGGAGGTGATTACTGTTGCATCTTACCTTGAGGGTAAGGCAGCCAAATGGCTGGATGGTTTAGTTTCAAAGGCCGGATACGGACGACGCATGGCGGACTGGGCTAAGACCATTACGTTAGACCAGTTCTTAGAAATGGTGGAAGCTCGTTGGCACAATCCACAACAGGCACAAATTGCCACTAATGCGATAAACAGACTAGACCAAAGAAAGTTCAAGTCAGTCAGGGAGCTTACGACTACCGTAGAGAGCCTTATCGTTGTTCCAGGCATAAACTACGATGACCAATTCTTATTGACCACGTTTGTGAGATGTCTCCCAGAGAATCTTAGAAATTTGCTGGCCAGCGAGGGCCGCCTTGAGTATCACTCATTTGAGACCTTGTCTAGAAAAACCTTAGAT